TCAACCTTCCTCTCTCTCTCTCTCTCTCTCTCTCTCTCTCTCTCTCTCTCTCTCTCTCTCTCTCTCTCTCTGTCTTCTTCTTCGTCGTGGTCTCTTTTGCAGGTGCGCGGCAGCTTCTCCAACCTCCAGGTCCGCTATGGCGGGCTTCTTGTCTTGGCGGCCACCTCAGCTATGGCACATCACTCCCTGGACCCGATGGCACGCATGGAATAGCGGGTACCAGCTCCGATACCAATGCAATCAGACTTGCTTTCATTCACACTTTACATGTATGCAAACAGGCGCACAGCAAACTGGCGTCAAGCACCCACACAGAACTCAGAGATATGGTCGCCGAAAACACAGTCCAGATACAAGTTCACTTTCGATGGCTATGGCGACTCAGCGCCCAAATAACTCTCTGTTTGCATACCCCGGATCACCCTGGATATCCCACACGCATCTCTCTGAACACTCACACCACACACACACTGAACACTCACTACAGCTATGGTGGCTATGACCACCTCTATCCTATCGCTATGCTACGCTCCTCTCTCGCCCACTTCGGCTCCAGGCTCACTGCAGACCTCCTTGCGCAAGTCGCTGTGGCAGTGCTTCCGCATCGCTCACGCAGGAATGAATGAATGGCTGGGCCCTGCCTCTTGATTTATACTTCTGAAGCTTGTTGGTCTGCCCCGTTCAATGAATGGCTGGGCGCTGCCTCTTGATTTATACTTCTGAAGCTCGGTGGTCTGCCCTGTTCCTTCGGCCCCTGGCGCACGCAGTCCCTCATGGTACTTGCTGGACTGGACTGGGACTGACTGGACTGCACCGCTGACTGCTTGGGGAGTCACTGCTAACCTACTGAGGTCGTACTGCAATCGTACTGCAGTTAGTCCACCACTTGGCTCACCACTTGCCCACTTGCCCACTACAGCTAAGACGTATAGACTTCACTAAGACTTCTGTTCGACAGACCTACAGATCTAACCCCTGCTACCTACGGACCCGACGACAGCCTACTAACTGTTACAAATACACCGGTCGTGGGTTCAAGCCTTGGGGTTGACACAACTTGACACAGATACTGTACATCGGTAGGGTAAGGGCTAGGGATCGAGCCCTGGGGTCTGCATCTGCTACTGCAAAAGGTGAAAACCGTTTCAAAACCCACGGCTGCACGAAAATCAGAAACAAACTAACAAAGTCGGACAAAAATCAGTAATCCAACAAGGATATAAATACGGAAGATTAAGACGAAATTACGACCAAAGGGAAAGCCGCCAAATGTACGAGTACGGATTTCTAGAAACAAACAGAAGTACTGGAGCGTACAAAGCTGTAGGAAGGTATATACAGCTACAAGGGAAAATCGACGACTACAAGAAATCAACGACGGGAAGGACAGTACACCGAGCGCAACTGCGTGAAACTCAGAGGCAACGATGATGAGGACACTGCAGGGAACGAGGACAAGAAGCTGGGAAGTAGAAGGAGGATAAGGTATATATTCAGGGATAGTGGCTGAAATGATTACCTGAGCAGTGAGGCAGAAGTGTAATAGCGACTGTTGTGGCACGCCATGGACAGGACATGTATGCTACAAAAGTAAAACCTCGCACGTATTGTCTATTATTGCATGTGTGTATCTCTCTCTCTCTCTCTCTCTCTCTCTCTCTCTCTCTCTCTCTCTCTCTCTCTCTCTCCCTCTTTTCCCCTCCCCGGGCCACGTTGATGCGCCTGGAGAGACCTGCTTGCACGAGTTTTTCCTGCCTAACAGTGCCTATGGAAACTCTATTTTACTGGCACACCCTGCATCCCCAGGTAACCCACCCAATTAGCCGAATGGGGTGTTTCTGGTGGCCTATCCCGGCAACCTATGGTCCAGACTCCAGAGCAAAGAATATTTGCAACTGGGCCCTCACGCACAGGGCGAGGTATTGCTTGCACACATTAGCAGACGGTGGCCGCTTACGTCCTGTATAAAAGGTCAATATCTCGTAGTTCGTGCAGCGGAGATCTCACCCGCAAGGAAGGGAGGACGGTAGGGAGAGGGAGAGGGAGGGGGAGGAAGGGAGGGAAGAGAGGGCGGAGGGGGGGGGGGGGGGGGGGGGGGGGGGGGGGGGGGGGGGAGAGAGAGAGAGAGAGAGAGAGAGAGAGAGAGAGAGAGAGAGAGAGAGAGAGAGAGATGTGGGCGTAAGTCTTAACCGAGCATTGTCTGTCAATCTGACGTTCTTTCTCGGTAAGCGTCCTCCATGGGATCCGCGAAGACAAAGACAGAGAAACCCATGAATTGTCATTGTCAGCACCTTACGCGTCAATCAGAAGGATACCGATGAAACCAACTGCTCAGCGTGATGCTCTGTCCGCCATTCCCCAGGCGCCACTACTCTTGAAGCCTCAAAAAAGGGCTCATCGAACCCAGGCTGGCTAGAAACCTCTCTTCGTCGTTATCTAACTGAGCAAATGACGAACCGTAAACTTTCCAGCCACCTAGCTCTATAATACAGACCTATTCACAGAGTTTGATATCATGATTCTGATCTTACTCAATTTTCAGCTCTCTCCTCTCCTCAGTTGGTCTGTACACTGGACATCCGAGATTCTCAACCCGCTAGCTTCATCAGAAAGATCGACCACCACACACAAGATCTCATCACCTCTCTCACTTCTGCGCTCTCTCCTCGTTTTTATCTGCAGGTAGCCAGCTGCGCACGCAAGGCAAGCAGCGTTGTTCCCCTCTCTGAGTGATTATCGCCTGTGCAATAAAGGCCACGTCAAGCCCTCTACCACTGCTTGAATTCGACCTTGAAAAGGGAATCTCGTCTGCTCTCTCACTTGTGCGCTCTCTTCTCGTTTCTGTCTGTAGGTGGCCACCGGCGTACACAAGCCAACGAGCTTTGTTCCCCCTCTGTTCGAGACAAACGCCCGTTCGGCTCGCGTGACGTCAAGCTCTCTAACACGGCGTGAATTTGATCACGTAAAGCGCGTGCGAGGGTTCGAAAGTAACTTGAGAGTCCGCCGTATCCACGTCGATCACTCCTTCTGCGGCAGGATCGGCGTCATTGTTGATCCGAACCTCCATCTTCAAATTGAGGTTTCCGCCTGGGCCGCACACGCTGTAAGTCTCATTGTCGAAGGCACCCGAATATTCGTAGTTGTCGTCCAGCGGCCCTTCCTTCTCGACAAAGAACGAACTCATTCCCGGCGTCCCCGTGAGGTAACATGTCACCTTGTGCACGCTTTTGACGTTAGCATCGAGTCTTGCGTAGCCCAGGAGCGTGACTGTGTCCAAGCGGTACTTCCAGCCAGCCGGACTATTAACCTTGATGCTGAGCTGGCAGAACTTGCGTTTACCAACGAGCTGCTCGTCTGTAGAGACGCCGAACTCGCTGAACTTTATCGTCAGCGCCTGTCCGTCCACGCTGATATCTCCCACAGCGGTACCCTGGCGACAGCCTGCGCCATTGTACGTGAAGGATTCGATGCGGGCTTCGGGCGGAACATCTTGCGCACATACGCATGCTCCCAGAAGCGCAGCCGCGATGAGCAGCGACGCCGCCATTCTCCGCACCGCCGCTGTTGCGCGTTCCGCCATAGTCATCCTCCAGGCCTGGAGCGGCGTAGTCTTCGTCTTGCTTCCTCCCGGGTGTTCCTCTGTCTCTGAAACAAAAAAACTGCAAGAGAAAGAAACCTCAGCGATCACCACACGATCGACTCCTCTCGTGGCGCGGTAGCAACACCCGCTACGAGATGTCACGCAGTCCTCTCCGTCTTCTTCTCTCTTCCTCTCTTCTCCTCTACACCTGGCAAGCTCAACAAATCGCTAGGCGCACTACTCTCGCCCGCTAGGAGATCTCACGCAGTCCTCTCCTTCTTCTTCTCTCTCTTCCTCTCGTCTCCTCTACACCTGGCAAGCTCTACAAAGCGCTAGACGCGCTTATAATCCACCGCTTCACTGCCATGCCCCATCTTTTTGAATGATACCCACAACCAGCAAGCAATCGCCCGTACTTCAGTCTACAACACGCTACACTGGCATGCTCAATAAGAATGATAAGCGCCACCAGTGAGCGACAGGCTGATTCTGATCGGCTGATTCGGCTGTCCTTAATTTTGTCTATGAAAACGGGACTGCAAGACCCGCTATTTGCGTCCTAGAATGAGTGGGACGGTGGGGTTTATACATGTGTTTGGACTCGGGTGACGAGGGCAAGCAAAATAAGGGCCTCGCCACACCAATCTCCCGAAATGGGCAAAAAGACAAAAATGTGGCGGGTGCATCTGGTCATGTTATTGGGGAAGTTCATGCTCATTTTGCACATCTCGAGAGTGGTGTGGCGATGCCCTAAGTCGTTGAAAAACGGACAAGTACAAAGGAATTAGGGCATCGCCACACGAATCTCGGAATGTGCAAACTTCCCCAGGCCTTAGAACCTGGCCAGATGCACCCGTCACATTTTAGTCTTTTTTCACATTTCGAGAGTGGTGTGGCGAGGCGCTTAGAGTACGGGGGTGAGGTCTCGCCTACGGTAATTCTTCGCCTCTTGCCATTGATCACGTAGGTGAGACTTCACTGCGAATGAGCCAAAGACAAATAAACAAACCACAAGGGGCCTGGCTCATTCGGTGGACCTGTGAACTGATGAAATGCAGTCCTGAGTTCAAATCCAGATGGGCAGGGTCAGCTCAGTGATGATATATTGAACGTCGTAGCCCGTCTACAAACGGATGGGAAATCAAAAAAGCAATCGGCATGCATCATGTGGATGCATTTCTGCACCAGTTGCCTTCAGAGGAGTCCAACAGGCTGAATCTGTTGGGAGGATGACAAGCACAAATAACAAGGGATTTTTTTTTATTTTTTTTTACAAGGGAAAAAATGTAAATCTTCCCCCCCGACGAGACCTTTGTATGCATTTCCCCATTTGGCAGCCCATTGTCCGTCCACCGAAAAACTCTCTTGCTTTCAGGAGTTGGCCTGTGGTTGTCTCCCACACTACCGTAGTTTCTCCATTCCACTGGGATCCCCTGACCGTTACCCGGGGGCAACTGTCGACAGAGACCTGTTGGAGAGTCTGTGTCGCAGATGGCGGAAATCCCCCAAAATGAGGGCTCTTGAAATTCTATGACAGCTCACCAAAATGGTCACTTTTTCCTGAGTGGTGCGGCGAGTCCAACAACAGCCGGCCCGCCGGGGCTTGGAACAGGGCAGTGGAATCTATATCAATCAATGTGTTAGGACGGTCGTTCCCCAAGGAGGGCACGCACGAACTGTTACACAGAAATCGTCCAAGAGACAGTCACTCTAAACAACAAAAACAAAAGGAAAGGAAACCGGAGGCGGGGTACCGGTGCGCTAAGCGTCGCCTCGGCGGCGCTTTCGCTTAAGCACGATTAGGACGGGAGGCAGCGTAGGGCAAGGTTGAGGTGGATGGCGGAGGTTGATGGGTGTAATTGAGATGTCTTACATCTACACGGGAAGGGAGGAAGGGAGGAGAAGGGGAGGAGGGTTGTGGCATGGCCGTCTGTGAAATTGATTTGCACTCGTAAGTTATGGCGCCTATCTCCAGCTGCGAGATTCTTGCAAATGGACGATCGGTCGGTCAGCGCTTCTTTACCAGTTTTCTCAAGAAGTGTCGCCAGCAGCTTATGAATCAGGAAGCGCACTCAAGCATGGGAACAAAGGGGTAATCTCGTTTTTTCCTTCATTGGGGATTGGTTTTTACCCGATTTCTTCCTGGTTTATTGAGGCTGTAGGTATTTCCTTTGTGATTGTTTTTTGTCGTCTTAAATTAGGTTAGGGTCCTTTGACTTTTGACTTATCGTTTCCCCGTTGTTGAGACGTCATGGCTGTCGTGGTTACTAATGAAGGAGCCCCAGCCTTGTCGCAGGCCGAAACCATCCGAATTAAAGGCATTCTGTCGGACTGCTACAACGAGGGTCTCCTTCCTGACGAGCTTTTGTCCAGTCAGGTGGAGACTGGGGAAGACTTTGTTAGAGTCGTAGTCAACCCAGACCACTACAGGATACATGAACAATGGCTCCGGGAAAATGCCGTAGCCGTCTCTTTTGGAAGTGACTCCTCTTCCTTGCCGATCAAAGTGAAGATTCGTCTTATCCGTATTTATGAGAATGGGTGGGCAAAAAGCAAGGTAATCTATGCTCCCCCCAAGAGAGGAGTCTTTCACAATGAAGGTTACAATCTAGTCACGTATGTTGCCTCTTCCCCAAAAATTGCAGAATGGATGCTCTTGAAGAGGGAGGATAAAATTATTTTAGATCGGAAGACGTATTCTATTTCTTTTCGTACATGGATGTCGGAGAATGAGTTGTTCGAGTGGCGGGAAGCACACAGATACAAGTTCTTCTGGGTACGTTGTATGTACGTCCCAGTGGCGGCGCTACCATACTTAGCCGCAGCTGTCAAACAGGCGTTTGGGACAATTGTGATAAAGCGTGAAACGTATTCGGAACCAACTTCCCCCGAACTGAAGAACGTTCGGTTCTATCTCGAACCTGCGGCCCGCTTCCGGTACAAACCCTATTTAATAATAGACATGGGAGTAGGAGGGTATGTAGAAATCGAAGTCGTGCACGCTCAAACACCGTGGCGTAAAGTGTGTAGACAGCACTTTCACTCGGAAGAGGATGACTCCTGCCCTGCAAAAACAAATCAGAATCAGCCAGAAGCGGCTGACAACCCGAATCCAGCACCCAGTTTAGCTAAGGATAATGACGCGAGTGGCTCCGTTCTTTCGGATAAGGAGGGGCCGGGTCAGAAGAGGTCGGACGAAGGGAGGGATGAGGGGCGGAAGGAAACGGATGGTGGCTGGCCAGACCCCCGCTCGTTAGGGGATGGTTCTGAGGGTGGAAAGGAGACGGAGGAAGCGGGACAAAAGCCAGCTGACAGGGAACAAGGGAAAGAAACAGGTGGGGATCCCTCACCGGAGGGGCAATCGAAAGATGTCGAAATGAGGCATGTGTCCCCCTACAAAGATGCACTGTTAAAACCACTACCAAAGGAGAAGCAAAGGAACAAGAAAGCGGCCGTCAAAAAGAGGAAGGAGAAAAAAGTGGCCCCCAAAGTGTGGAGGCGTAATCAAAAGATTAGTTCCTCGGTAAATGTGGACGACTCATCAGAACACGGTAATGGCTCTCTGACAGAGAAGGAAGCAGGCTTGCTTGAGGACAAGGGAGATCCTAAAAAAGGTCCGGAAAACTGGGAGAAAGTCGGGGACAGAATGTTCCCCCCCCTGGCTCGCAGCCCAGTCCAACACTCAAGTCGCCCTCGCAAGCAACCCCCTCCCCAAAACGGTCTGAACGAACTGAAGTCCGAAGCACAGGCCAGGCACCCCGGATTGAAGAGGAAGGTGGCCTAAGAAGAGAGGCCCGTCCTGCAGATCAGGAAGTGATTGTGGCTTCCGCACAGGAACATGGTAGGGGTTCTCTGATAGAAAAGGGAGCAGGTTTGCTGGAAGGCAAGGGAGATCCAAAAAAAGGTCCGGAAAACAGGGAGAAAGTCGGGGACGGAATGTCCCCCCCCCCTGGCTCTCCGCCTAGCCCAACACTTAAGTCGCCCTTGCAAGCAACCCCCTCCCCAAGACGGTTTGAACACACTGAAGTCCGAAGCTCAGGTCAGGCACTCCGGATTAGAGAAGAAAGTGGCCTAAGAAGTGAGGCCTGATCTGCAGACAAGGAAATGACTGAGTGGCCCAAAAGGAGAATAGGGAATAATCTCCATTTCTCAGTGGGTGAGCTTCACACCGAATTAAGCCCCGCAGCAGGGGACAAAACACTTCAGAGTAACCACATCCAACCCCTGAGTGACTCATCCTCCGGCAATGGTATTACCGAATAAAATTAATCTTGCTAGCTGGAATGTTCGCGGGCTTGGGGATCAGGATGATCAGTATAAGAGACAGCAACTGTCCTCCTGGGCTTACAATGAGCACATCCACATAATCTGTCTACAGGAAACCAAAATAGGTCCAGATAAAATGTTGGACATCGCTAATTGGTGGAGAGGGCCGCAAATATTGGCTCCTGCGGATGGAACTAAAGGGGGAGTTGTTGTTTTAATAGATAGAAACCTGGAAGTTGAAGTTATTGATTCCTGTGCTGATACGGAGGACCGCTGGGCATGGATAAAGTTGGCGGTAGCGGAGGAAGATTGGGCTATTGTTTCTGTCTATGCCCCAGTGAACTATTCCAGGAGGATTAATTTTCGCTGACCTGCCAAAAGTTATCCTTGACACGGAAAACCTCCTGCTGTTAGGGGACTGGAACTGCACACTGAATCCGGGTTTGGATTCCCCTAACATCTTTCCAATAAGAGAGGACGCGTTAGTTCTTAACTCCTTCATGGAATCTCATAATCTGTCGGATGCTTATAGAACGTTGAACCCAGACTCACACGGTTTTACATGGCAGGGCCCTCGGCCCTCGCCCAATGCTCCTCGCCCGAAAAGACGTCTGGACTTTATTCTGGCCAGAGGAGACCCATGAAACCGTTGCACGGCTGTAGAGGTCTCTATCGCCTCAATGTCTAACCACTTACCGGTGGTAATGCAGGTCTTAGCTAAGGACGAAGTGGACAAACATAGACCACCTTTCAGATTGAATGTCTCTATCCTAAAGGATCCAGGGATATCTCAGTGGGTCGAAAAACAAATGAAAGATTGGCTCCTAGCAAAGGAGTTGTTTGAGGACCCCGAAGAGTGGGTGGACACAGGTATAGGGATTCTACAGTCAGCGATGATGGAATTCTCTCGGATGAAAGCAACTGCTCCCAGTTGGAAGGAGAAACAGTTGCGGGACGAGATTGCTCAAGCGAATGCATTTGCAAGGGATGACCCCTTCCTGGAGTACTATTGGTCTGAGAAGAGAGCCGAAGCCTTAA